GAAGAAGATTGTTTATACCTGCTCTAATGAAAGAGAAGAAGGAAGAAGATTGTTTATACCTGCTTTAATGAAAGAGAAGAAGGAAGAAGATTGGCTATACTTGCTTTAATTAAAGAGAATGAGGAAGAAGATTGTCTATTCCTACTCTAAGGAAAGAGAAGAAGGAAAAAGATTGTCTTTTCCTGCTTTAATGAAAGAGAAGAAAGAAGAAGATTGTTTATACCTGCTCTAATGAAAGAGAAGAAGGAAGAAGATGAACCTGATCAACTAAAACAAGATTAGAAAGTGGATTAGAACTGACGAGGGTCAACCCAGACCGAAATATATTTTCAATAAATGTGGAACTAACATCTACTTTTTTACTCTACAGAGGTTTGGTCCATCACCATCACCGAATTTTAAGATTAGAAAGGTGTCAAATATGTCAGTAAATCACCGCTTTACGAAATTTTAAATAACTCATCATATTAAGTAATAATGATAAAGTTATCCCTGTTTTTCTACCTAAAAATTTATTATTTTCAACAGATGTTTTTAAAAAAGTAATTTGCGTATTCAAGCAGCAGAGAAGGAAAAACATTAAATAAAATTGAATCCCTGAATAGTACAAATGTGTTGACGGAAAACAGCAACACGCTAGACAAATCCGGTTAATAGGCCGGTTAGGATTCTGGTGGGGGATGTTTATTTTCCCCGGACAATTCTTTCCCGATAGGCCGCACAAATACACACAACAGAGTAACCCCGTCTCAGAAATTCAATAACAAAATCTTTATTTCCTAAAAAATAACATAAATTATAGGTCATGGTTACTTGTACAATGTTATAATGAATATTAATAGTAGAAAAAATCTTACGAATTATTTAAGGATGGTCGGGGGTGACTTATTGTTGATCAGTATTGAAATACGTTTTTTTAACTTCTGAAAAATTACAGTTGAATATTTAACGAAATTCACTAATGCTTCTTATGAAAATATTTTGCTTAACTTTAATGATTTCACAACAACGAAAATATTTTAAGCTCCGTCGGAGGAGGACAAAGGGAATTGCGGGCTGAAAATTTGGTTTGGCTGTCTCCGACAGGAGATTCAAGTTGAAGACGACATTTTATAGAGGTTTTAAATTAATGGTTAACAAAATGAGACTGTAATGCAAAGATGGCAATGTCCAATTTACCTCGTTTTTCTGACTTAAAAGTGTTTAATTCTTATAATTTCCCCAGCTTCCTTATAAGCAAGAAATGCAGCATGTCTCTTTTGCAGAGAAACCAGAAATAAAAAGTAACAGTTTCCCAAAAGAAAAACATTGATATCTAATTCACTCCGATCAGACAAAGTTGTGCCGGGTAATCTTGTAAATAGGGCAAAGCAAATAAACGGTCACTTGAAATTACGCTCACAGTCCCTTTAAATATGCTCATTCTAATAAAATAAAAGGCTTAAAATTCAGTGATGGTGATGGACCAAACCTCTGTAGAGTAAAAAAGTAGATGTTATGTTCCACATTTATTGAAATAAAAGGCATTGTAAAATGAAAGTTTAACAGAGTCCGAATTTAATGAATTTGAGCCGCGTCTCAAATCCGCCAAATACCGGCTTTGATTGAGCGCCAGATTAAATCTTAAAACATTGAATACAATTTTAAGTGGAACCAACCATTTTTGAGCCGCGGCTTAAATTCTTTAAATTCGGTCTCAGAAGAAATGCAAAAAATAATATAACCTGGAACAAGACAGAAACCTGCCATTCCTCCGTCACGGAATATTCCTACTGCATCTCTTGTTCCTTAATATGTAATATTGATACAGGGTGTCCCAAATATATTGTGAATTTTGAAACGATCTAAAGAGGAACTATAAAGAAAAGGAAGACGACTGTTTGGACTTAAATTATTATTTTTAAAGGAGCTGCGCCTGCATGAACATAAAACAATAATTAACTCAATCATAGAGCAAATTACCTCCATTTTGATTAATATAAACTCAATCATAAAGCAAATTACCTCCATTTTGACAAATATTAACTCAATCATAAAGCTTAAATTACTTTCATTTTGACAAATATCAACTCAATCATAAAGCAAATTACCTCCGTTTTAACATATGAAGAAAAATACCTCCATTTTGACAAATATTAACTCAATTATAAAGTAAAATACCTCCATTTTTATAAATATTAACTCAATCATAAAGCAAATCACCTCCATTTTGACAAATATTAACTCAATCATAAAGCAAATTACCTCCATTTTTATAAATATTAACTCAATTATGAAGTAAAATACCTCTATTTTGACAAATATTAACTCAATCATAAAGCAAATTACCTCCATTTTTATAAATATTAACTCAATTATGAAGTAAAATACCTCCATTTTGACAAATATTAACTCAATCATAAAGCAAATTACCTCCATTTTTATAAATATTAACTCAATTATGAAATAAAATACCTCCATTTTGACAAATATTAACTCAATCATAAAGAAAATTAACTCTATTTTGACAAATATTAACTCAATCATAAAGCAAAATACCTCCATTTTTATAAATATTAACTCAATTATGAAATAAAATACCTCCATTTTGACAATGATTAACTTGTCCTCTTCTACAGAACTTACAACTCTGACAGGGTCTAAAAATGAAATTCTTTTAAACCATGAAATTATTCTTTTCAGGAATTGTTATTTAAACTATTGTTCAACTTATGTTTTTGTGAATTATTCACAGGGACGAGTTGGAGCTTTAGCTTAGGGGGTGTGCCTCCATAAAACCCCATATAATGAATTGATAAAAATATATTGATCAAAAAAGTGCAAACAACTTGCCTTTCGATGTCTGAAATTTTTCATGAAAAATCAATTCATAAATGTGGCCCCCTATGCGCCCGGCCCTGATTATTGAATAACAGTTTAGACTTTAAACAAATAATTACTAATTTTCATTTGACAATATTATAAAATGACCTGTTGGGATCTACTCCGACCTTGTCTCCTCTGTTGAGACCTTGAACCTGAGCTCCGATCTCCTCCACTACTCCGGAGAACTCGTGTCCGATTGTTACAAACTTATCGCTACAGTTCTTAAACTTACCCTATTTACACACAAACTGTTTTATCAGATAAAATTAAGCTTTTCTTTAAAAATCTTTTGTCTCAAAGAAACTATTGACGTAATTCTAAGTGATTAATGGTGTGTCCGATTGACAACGGTACCCTCTTTAAACCTTGATCTGATTAAGGATTATTTTTCTAGCTAAACCACATAATTTTACGGTCAAGGGTTTTCGCATGCCAATTTTTAAGCTTATCCTGAAGCCCAAATTGGTGTGATTAGATAAAAATGGATGTTGTACATTGTACAATGTACATAATTATGTTAACCTCTAAGATATGAAGATCCGTCCCGCAGAGTCCAGCAAAGGCGACTTTGATGAGGACGTCTGTAGGCCCTGATATCTGTGGTACTGCAGTCTTAACGAAATAGGAAAAGTATCGCGCATAACTGAAGATATAAATTGCCAGCGCGTCATGCCACTTAGTTTTTCTATGCTGAAGAGGCAATTTGGTCTTTAAATAACTTTTCGTTAAAAAATTGAATTATTTTTTTAAGCTTGAAAAATGTTGCATTTTAAAAGATACGATGGTCGAAAAAATATTGTGAAAAGTAAAAAGCTACCTTTATCAACCTCAGATTCTCATGAGGGCTTAGTTTAGCGTTAAATTGGAGAGCCTGCATGATTGTTAAAAACTCTTAAAGTTTGTTTAATCTAAAATAATTCCGCTCTATAAAGTTCTATGATCAGAGCTCTAAACTTTTGTGCTGGATACTCATTATCCCGATCATTTGATCTCGAAATCCACTGCAGGCTATTTTAATTATGAGGATAAATGCTTCATCTCTTTATTTTAGTTAGTCCTCCATACGCGATATTGAATACATATTAAATTAATTTGCAAATTAACAAAAAAAAGATTAAGCATCCTAACTCAGATAAACTACACAGATAAGAGTTTACACATGAAAAACACGGCATCATGTCAAACTCCTAAAAACTCCTAAAAAACATCACATTAACCCTAAACTATGAACTAGTGAAAGACAAACTTCTAAAACTATGAACTAGTGAAAGACAAACTTCTAAACTATGAACTAGTGAAAGACAAACTTCTAAACTATGAACTGTTGAAAGACAAACTTCTAAACTATGAACTGTTGAAAGACAAACTTCTAAACTATGAACTGTTGAAAGACAAACTTTTAAACTATGAACAGTTGAAAGACAAACTCTTAAAAAGACAAACAGCTAATAGACAAGCTGCAGAAGAGTAAAGACTCTTAATCTTAAACGCAATCCCATGAAAAACATTCAGAGGCAAGTTTTCGTAGAAAAACTCCAAAAACACTAGTTGAAGAAGAGAAAACTCGTAAAGAAGAGAAATTGCATGAACAGAAAAACTCCAAAACATTAGTTGTAAAAGAGAAAACTTCTGAACAGAAAATCTCAAAAATATTTGTCGAAGAAGAGAAAACTCCAGAACAGAAACACTGCTGAAGAAAAGAAAAACTCCTGAACAGAACAACTCCCAAAATATTAGCTGAAGAAGAGAAAACTCCTGAAGAGAAAAAGTCCAAAAATATTAGGTGTAGAAGAGAAGAGCTCAAAAACATTAGTTAAAAAAGAGAAAACTTCTAAAGAAGAGAAAACACATGAACAGAAAAACTTCAAAAATATTAACTGAAGCAGAGAAAACTTTATACTGCTAACAGAAAACTCCAAAAACATTAGATAAAGAAGAAAAAACTTCAAAAACATTAGCCGAACTAGAGAAAACTCCAAAAATATTAGGTGTAGAAGAGAAAATTTCTGAAAAAAAATATTATAAAAGACACACTCCCATGAGTAAAACTCTTTAAATCATCCTGAAAGACAATCTTCAGAAAAACTAGCTGTGGAAATTTTCTTAATTCTCATGTTTTAACTGTGTTTGTATACTGGGATTAAAAAGAGAAAGGATGTTCTAGACTTCCCTCCCGAATTTTTACTAAACAAATTTTCATCTTCAGTGTCAAGTTAAAAAACAAGTTTGTCAAGTTATATTACGATTTATGGAAAATCACAATTATACAAAATGGATTTCTTTTAATTATTTTGTAATAAAAATATATAATTATATGTAGGAGATCATAACCTTAAATTTTACTATTTCAAAGATGTTTAAATTCCTTTACCTTTGATATTTCAAACTATCAAAGGTCTACCACATTGAGTTTGTGGCACATACTACACCCGACAAAAGTCTGGTAGGTGGGAAGGTGTGCGGGACTGAAGTATATTCTCCTAAATCTCCAACTCCTTCTTTAAGTACAATTCAGATATTCTTCCTGGTTTAAACCATAGATAAAGATAAATTGCGCATAAGACGACATTTATATAAATGTACAGACAAGATATAAATGTACAGAGATGTTTTAAAGATATTCCTATTATATAGATTAACTTGGTCGGTTGTGAACATTGACTGTTCTTATGTCATTGAGTACTTGTGGTGTACATGAGTTCTGTAGAGAGAAATTTAAGTTAGTTTAGTCCTTCTCATGTTCTTCTTCAGTTCTCGTCAATAAATATTGCTCAGTGAAATATTGTTGTTCAAATACAGGGTGTCCCACATCATATTAGACTTTCAACGGGTCTAAATTGCGATTTTCGGGACTAATAAGAAAATTTAATTAAAATGAATCAATTTGAAAAATAACATAAGGCTTATATAAGAATTTTCTTGCGGAAAATGATAAGTTTTTCGAGTATTAAGGGTTTATTTTGTCGTTAAAGATTAGAGATAATCTAATATGATATGGGACGCTCTGTATGTTATCATTGAAGTACACTTCGACCCCTAGAAGTATGAGTTCGCGGACTGTACAATTCTTGGTGATTTTGCGTACATAAGCTATCTATGTTTATTTATTTATCATATGGTTTAAACATAGAGAATAGAATATATAGAGAGGAATTTAATGGAAAAAAGTGTAAAACGGCCATTTTGTTGTACTGTTTCCATACTGCAGGTGTACTTCACATATTTATGCTATATAACCTGTTGGGCCCTGGAATATCATTATTATAGAAAATCTAAAATTATTGTTAAAAGAAAACCAAATTATGAAATAGGCTGGTTTCATAATTGACCAATGATCATTTCACATAGACTCTATGTCTTCCACTTTACAAACGATGATTTTCCGTTATAACTATAAATCAAATGATGTTTTTACTCACCTAATTCATTATAAAGTTTATTTAACAGTTTAAAAAATTCGAAATTGAAATGGATAGTCTAGGGAACGTACTGTATTAATGTACTCTACTGCATATAATTTGTGAACATTTACATGATTTGTACACTTTGAACTCCCTTTCAGGCTGAAAGGGGCTGACAAAATTCATACCGAGAGATTCTTTCAATTCCTCTCTATATATTCTATTTTCTATGGGTTTAAACTTGGTTCCTGCTTCATCTACGAATCATTGAACTTGGTTCATACAATACTCAAAACCTTAATAAAGAGGTTTATTTAATAATGTGAAAAGTTTGAAAATTAATAAAAAGATATTGACCAAAGAGGAATAGATTGTAAATAGAGTGGAATTTACTCGATAAAAGTGTAAAACGGCCATTTTGTTGTACTGTTTCCATACTGCAGCTGTACTTCACACATTTGTGCTATATAACCTTATGGGCCCTGAAACATCATTTTACAGAAAAGTTTTCTTGAAAATTATTAAGTCTTGTTAGAAAGTAAAACAGCCCTGAGACAGCTTAGGCCAAGGGGCAGGCGGAAATGGGGGGAAACAATCCTAGAAAATTGCGGAAAAGACTTAAATTATATTTAAAGAATGGATTAAACACATTTTCCTTGTGGAACACTTAATAAATACAAAATTCTTTTGTTTTGGCACGCAGGTAGCTTGGAATTTGCTAATAAGGGGGGGGGGGCATTTTTTGGGCCAGAAAACTTTAGAAAAGGTCGAAATTAATGACTCATTACACATTATAGTTTCTCGATAAAAAAAAAGTATGGCTGAGGGTTCAGTTTGAGCGTCAAGCTTTTAGCCTAAAATGGCTTTTTTTGAGCTTTAAACGTCATTTTTCTTGAAGTAAGAATAATTGATGGCTATTTGTAATAGCTCAATGGAAAAGAAAAAATATTGCAAAACTGCAGACAAAATATCTATCTATATTTCCTTTGACAAAAGGAAGCATATTGCATAAATCTAGCAGGGAAGTTTTGCATTTTTTGCTATGTGGTTGGATTTGAAAAAAAATATTTTGATAATTTCAAATCTGAAATTTTTTTCTTTAGTGGTTCATCAACCTATCTCGATATCTGAGTAACAATGAGGGTGATATCATAATTTTCTAAATCCCTGACAAGGAGGNAGTGAAAAAAATGTTATTCCTCCCCCCCCCTCCCCTCCTGGCTTAATCCTAGAATCCCCTTGCTAGAGTTGTCTTCTAATTGTTTTGCTTTTTGGGACAGCCAGTATGTGTTCTGCATTGATTTATGAAAATCATCCAAATTTTGAAAATATATTGTCAAAATTGAAACCCTTATTCCTTTTTGTTTGTTTTTGTTTTACAATGATATACAAAAAGAAAATGTTCTCAATTAAAATAGAAGATGGGCGCGAAGCGCCCTAAAATCCTCCCTAAAAAGCAAAAAGCAAAAAAGATGAACAATTCTGTAGGTATTTACTTTAAAAACAAAGGTTTTTCATGTTTAATAAGATAATGATTTTAATAGGAAATCGGAATGGATATGTCCAGGAAAAAAGCGGAAACACCTCAAAAGTAGATTTTTTTAGTTGTTTCCGCGAATTCTGTATCCTCTTTTCCAAAAATGTTTGAGGCGTGTCCGCTTTTTAGCTTACAAATATTTTTTAAGGGATTTCCCAATATTTTTAAGGAGTTTCCGCAAAATGTTTAAGGTGTTTCTGACTCCGTATATTAAAATATTTTAGGCGTTTCAGTATTTTTTAAAACTCTACTTAGTTGAGGTGTTTCCAGTTTTTTTTTTTTTGAGGCATTTCCGCAAAATTTTTGAGGTGTTTGCGAATTTTTAAAAACTCTATTTAGTTAAGGTGCTTCCGCTTTTAAGAGGTGTTTTCGCAAAACATTTGACGCGTTTCCGTATTTTTAAAAACTCTACTAGTTGAGGTATTTCCTTTTTTTAGGTGCAGTTTCCGCAAAATATTTTAGGAGTTTTCACAAAATTTTTGAGGTGTTTCCGTATTTTTGAAACTGTATTTAGTTGAGGTGTTTCCACTTTTTTTCAAGCTTTTCTGTATTTTTGAAAACTCTATTTAAAACACAAAAAGTCTTTTATATCAGCTGTGTAAAATTTGCATGTGTAAAATTAAAATACAATTATTTTTCAAAATTTTTGAATCGTTGTCATACATTTTAATACAATGATGACAACATTCGATTCCAATTTTGATTTTTACCATTAACATGGAATCAGAGAGAAACTTTTAAATAACTTGTTATAAATCAAAACTTAACCAGAAAAGTCGTCTTCATTGCATTGATATAAAATTAGTGTTTACCGCAGATAACAAATACAAAATAAAGTGGTCTCCAGAAAAAGGTTGTAAAGATGCAGCAGTCTCTGAAAAATATAATGTACAGTGAATGTCAAATTTACGGCACTCCGTTTAACAAAGCAAGAAAGACAAGTTTTCAACTACAAATATTCGGAAATCCCTCACCATTTTCCAGTTTTGAGGGATTTCCTAAAATAAAACGGATAATACTCAAAAGCGGTTTTTAAGACATTTCCTTGGTGAGGAGTTTCCATAGCTTCCCCCCCCCCCCCCCCACCTGTAGAGAGGCCCCGCATGTTTTTTATTTTTATTTTCTTGACAATTGACAATTTGTCATTTTATGGTATTTTATATAATTCTTTCGATTATAGACCTTCCCTAAAAATATATATATACATATTTTTAGAGTTGGAAAAAGTAAAAATACGTATTTTCCATACGACGTATGACATACGTTTTTTCCTAAGCATTTCCATGGTAATAATACGTATCCATAAAAACACGTATATGACAAACGTAAAAATGCGTATGTAAAAAACGTAAAAGGTCGAATGAATCAGGATTTTTTTTGGTTTTTAACTACACATAGATTTAGGTTTGAAAAAATTCAATATTTCTTAATTTTTTGGAATTTATAGGTTTTACCATAACATAAAATAAGAATTTTTTAAGGCATTTTCATCATTCAATTGTTCTAAAACCAAAATGTTAAGAAGTTAACTATAATGTTGCATGCACATTGTTCCTTCATATCTATACAGCTAATTCAAATTTTTTTTAAAAATCCAATCCAATATTCTATACACAAATTCACACCATCATCATTCCTTTATCTGTATCTATCTAAATCAACATTCATATATGCATTTAGACTGTATCTTCAACAATTATGTATTCATTATCTGTTATACTTCATATATTTACACTATTATTATACCTATTATACCATGTCAACGTAGAATAATTCTATTTATCAAAAAATCGAGAATTTATTATTGATTCCAATGAAAACATCAATTATAGAAATTTTTAAATATTGTATTTACCTAAATGTTTTCACTTAATTTCTTACATAACAATTCTCTTCAAAAATCATAAAATATTTTTAAATAACTAAAAAATGCCTTTTCGTTTCGTAAATATATTGACACTTGAAAATTAGTTGGCATAAAATTTACAAAAGTATACGCATTTTTAGATTTGCATTAAACGTTTCAACTCTAAGAAAATACAATTTTTTAAGCAAATAAAAAGCAAACAAAAAAGTAAATTTTTTTTTAAAAAAACCCAAAAACTTAAAAAAAAATACTAGGTACAAAATTTACAAAAATATACATATTTTAAGTTTCGTAGCAAACTTGTAAACTCTAAAAAAATACCAATTTTTCAAGTGAAGAAAAAATACGTAAAAATACGTAGAATTAAAACCTACAAACACTTAGAAAAATCATTTGACGTATGGAATTTACGAAAATATGAGTATTTTTAAGTTTACCTCAAATTAAAAAAAAACTTTTAAAGAAAAAACCCGAAAAATACGCAAAAATACGTAAAATAATAATTCCTATAAAAGCTTAGAAAAATTGCCTGGTTTGAAATATAGGGTCTGTCCTATTGAACCCCCTCCCCCCCCCCTCCTATCAATTTTGTACATGACCAAATTAGTATTTATTTAGTATTATTTAGGGTTAGGTTAGGTTAAGACACTTTCTGGGCCGAGCGCTGCGGCTAGGATGGGCTAGGGGGCCGAGCGCTGCGGCTAGAATGGGCTAGGGGGCCGAGCGCTGCGGCCACGGGTTAGGTTAAGTTGAGACACTAATTCTGTAAGATCTATGTACAAAAATGATAGGAGGGGGGGTTGAGGGGGCCTGGAGGGGGGGTCCAAAAATCGCTCTCTAGGAAAACCGAAATATACGAAAATATAGATATTTGCATCAAAAAATTTTAAACTCTAAAAAAAATACTTTGCCAAAAGCATACGCAATTATTCGTAAAAATACGTTTCTGGAAAACCTAAAGCACTTTTAAAAACCGTGCAATTGATAGGATATAAACGCATAAAAATATACGCGAGTTCTTTACCAAAAAATTGAGCATATAAATTTTACGTAAATATAGCTAAAAATACGAATACCTAAATAGAAGAAATCCACAACTTCCTGCAGGGATCAATTTGGACTCGAGGTGCAAAATGTGCAGTATGTTCCCTGCAGTTAGTATTTTGGCTCAATCGGCTCAGCCGTTTAAAATCATATAATATATACCATTTCAAGACTTTTTCAAAACATCAGAAGAAATTCAATCTTCATCATATTTGATGCCGTATAAACCATCCTAGATGATTCTAACCTAAAGGTTTTCTGACCTAAATATCGAGTAGTTTGCACATCATTTAGATCGGTTTGGTTGAAAAAAAGCTTTAGGTCCGTTTGACATCCTTTGAGAAATGAGGGAGGGGGTGCAGAGGCGCCATGATCCCCGCAAAACTGACCTCCCAGCCTCCGGATTTTCAGAATTACCTCCAGGCCCCGCAAAACTGGTCTTCCAGCCTCCGTGACGTCACCAAGCCTCCCGTCATTCTATCTTCACGCCCCACATTTTGGCCCTGATAAAAAAATATTTGGCTTTTTTTTCCACCAAGAACCTTTTTTTTTAAAAAATTCTCAACATATGATGAAATAGTTCAGAATGATACATTAACATTTTGTATTAAAAAGTTAATTTTAATTGAGATCAAAGGCATTGTATTTTGTTTTTCTAAATTTCACAAATTCCTTAAATTGTGAAGAACTATTGCAGTTTTGTATATTTTAAGATAGAAAAATTTTATATTATTTTAGATGGGTCTCTTATAAAAATCAAACAATATCAGCGGCAATTTACAAAACACGGTAGTTTTTGTGAAATCCTTGTATTTGTGATTTTATCGCATGCTTTAGGAAATATTGAAGAACTATTTTTTCAAAAATTGAAACAAAGAATTAAATAATCTAAATATCTATTACATGCTACTAACAGGTTAGGGCAGCTTCGTGTCATATCTTGTTATTTTAATAAGTTAAATTTAGTTCTAAATAGTTTTTTTTTTTAGCGAGAGAATTCATTTATTTGACTGAAAAAATTGATATACAGAGATGGGGGGGGGTGCGCAAAAACTCGTAGCAGTGCTATAGAATAAATTAGGCTCCATTCAGTGGCTAATAAATAGGATAAATAAATGACTGTTTGGTCATTTGGACGTCAAAAGTTTGGTCATTTGGACGTCAAAAGTTTGGTCATTTGGAAGTCAAAAGTTTGGTCATTTGGATGTCCAAAGTGACGTCATTTCGACACTCAAAAATTAGGTTGTGAGGACGTAAGAATCCTTGCGTTAAACGTCCTCAACAAGTCCGCAACACCTAAAATACGACGTTGCTGGACGTCCCACTGGTAATTATTGACGTCCTCATGACATCCTTAGGACAACTTCTGGTTTCTAGGATTAATGTGCATTTTTATGATAAAATGTAATGCTATGGAATAGAGAGTTAATAAAATCTTCAAATCATGATGCCCTCAAAAATATTAGATAAGTTGTTTAAGGTTGTCTTACTCATATCTTAATGTAAACTTTTACAGAAAAACAACTCCAGAACAATTGAATGAATTAACATGTCAAAATTGTTGATTAAACAGTTCTTTAAACTATGACGGAGTCCTACTATGAAGAGATATTTTGTTATTTGTTTGGTTAAGCTTAATAAATTTAAACAAAAAATAAAAACAACATGCGGAGACCGAAATGCGGTGCGTGGAGACAGAATGACGGGAGGCTTGGTGACGTCACGGAGGCTGGGAGACCAGTTTTGCGGGGCCTGGAGGTAATTCTGCAAATCCTGAGGCTCGGAAGTAATTTTTGCGGGGATCATGACGCCTCTGCACCCCCTCCCTCGAGAAACATTTAGGTTTTCCGACCTAAGATTTAGATATATATTTAGGTTGGTCGAACCTACAGATTTTTAGGTCGGAAAAACGTTAGGTTGGAAACTCAATAGGTTCGATGAGCGGGTACGGTCATATTTAATGAATTTTATGCCTTCATTAAAGGAATTAAAGTCTCATCCTTTATGGGTAACCCTTTATTTTGATTTTTATGAGTTTAAGTCAACTACGCGGCATCTTAACATTCACTGCTGACTGCTGAGTGCTGAGGCGCCAATTTCCAAATGCAATTGCAACGTCCTAATCCCATCCCATTCTGTACAGTGTACACTTCTCGGGCCAGAAAGTGTCTTAACTAACCTAACCCGTGGCCGCAGCGCTCGGCCCCCTAACCCATCCTAGCCGCAGCGCTCGGCCCAGAAAGTGTTATAACCTAACCTAACCCCAAATAATGATAAATAAATACCAATTTTCTAATTTCGCCATGTACAAAATTGATAGGAGTGAAAGGAGGGTCCAAACATCGTTCATTAGGACAGACCCTATAGGACTAATTAATTGGTATAATGACTAATTTTTGGATTTTGAGTTATGTTAGTACTAATCTTGGTTTATTTTTCAGAAGTTTTACAATGGGTAAACGGACTGTTGAGGAAAAAGCTTACTGGAAAGGGAAGAAGAGCTATCGTAAGAAATCAAAGAATCCAATCCCTGCTAGTAAATCATCAAGGGTTGTAAATCCGACAGAATCCTCAACATGGGCAGTTTTAAATCCTAGAAATACTGTAAGCCTCTTGCCAGCTAAATTTTCTTTAAGTAGGGTCGGTGCAAAAAATAAAATTAAGGGGAGCTGAGGGGACCAGCTTAGGGTTATTTTCTAGAGAAGGATCTTTGGACCCCCACTCTTCCCACCGGCCGGCCACTAGCCTGTCCTGTCATAACCTAACCTAACCCTAAAATAATAAAAGAATAAATAATAATAATTATCAATATCAATCCTATCAATTTTGTACATGACCACTTATTTTTCAGCAAAATTATTATTTTTATTTTTCCTTATTTCAGGGACAGGCTAGGGGGCCTAGCGCTTTGGCCAGAACAGGCCTTTAATTTTTACAATTTTTAACAAATTTAGTACATATTTAGGGTTAGGTTAGATCAGGGTTCCTCCCAGGCTTTTTGTGGCAGGTCAGGATAAAAGCAAAAGTGGCAGATTCTCAAAAAGTGGCAGAATTTACACACAGCCCGCGAAAACTTCGAAGAAGTTTTCTGCGGCAGGGGGTCACAAGGGGGGCAGAGCTCCCCTTGCAGAGAAAATTTTGGGATTTTGGTAGTAGAATAGAGCGTTTTGGTGCTGTTAAAAGGTCAATTACCAGGTCCCTAATATAAAATTTTCATTACTATTTTTCATGAAACCTTGGGATTTTTATATTTTATTGTTTAAGATGCCTTTCTGAAGTCAAGTAAGATTAGCTTTAGAAAATTGGAATACATACATGTGTGACGCTTAATTTAACCAATTACAATGAAAAAGTGACCGAATTTACACACAGCCCGCGAAAATTTCGAGAAAATGTTGGGATTTTGGTAGTAGAATAGAGCGTTTTTGGTGCTGTCAAGTATATGCACAGATTAGCTTTTGAAAAGGGGGAATATATTTGTGAAGCTTAATTTAACCAATTACAATGAAAAAGTGACAGAATTTACACACAGTCCGCGAAAACTTCGAAGAAGTTTTCTGCGGCGGGGGGTCGCAAGGGAGGCAGAGCCCCCCTTGAAGAGAAATCTTTTGGATTTTGGTAGTAGATTAGAGCGATCTGGTGTTGTAAAAAGGTCAATAACCAGGTCCCTCCCATAAGATTTTCATGAAACTTTGGGTTTTTTTATATTTTATTGTTCAAAATTTTTTGTGAAGTCATGTATGTGCACAGATTAGCCTTTTAAAAGGGGGAATACATGTGTGACGCTTAATTTAACCAATTACAGACCGATAATTTTAACCAATAACAGAAAAGATCTCAGATTTACACTTTTTGCGCGTTCACCCTTAGCAGAACTGATGGCGTATCTTTCGACCTACGCACATGCGCTATACTCAACTTCTGACCTACGTCAAATCCGCTAAACTACACATCCGACCTACAAACAACTGGTTTTACAGCTGCATGATGGTGGGAGGGGAATCTAAAGAAAATCCACCGCCCCCACCCCACACCCAAATATTTAAGGTGGCATAAGTTCTAAGCTTTGATTGCATGTGTCAGCTGGTATAGCAATTGTGGCATTTTTATGTACTAAAACAATTTTGTGGCCGATTTTAAGCTTGTTAATAATTTTTGTGGCAGATTATATGCATTTAGGAATTAAGTGTTGCAATTTTTTTGGTTTTAGATAGAGGTGTGTCAGGGTATAACTTTCTATAAAATTTCTTATGTGTTAACATTATTTTTTTTGCAGATTTTACCCTTAATGATGATTTTTTGTGGCCGATTTTATGTATCTGAATACTTTCAGTTTAAATTTGGGGCATCTGTTATGTGTTAACATTATTTTGTGCCATTTTTTTTAGCTCAGTCATTATTTTTGTGGCAGATTTCATGCCTTAAGTTTATGTTTGTGGCAGATTTTAAGCTCATTCATTATTTTTGTGGCAGATTTCATGAATTAAGATTATGTTTGTGGCCGATTTAAAGCTTATTCATAATTTGTGTGGCAGATTTCATGCAATAAGATTATGTTTATGGCCGATTTACAGCTCATTCATAATTTGTGTGGCAGATTTCAAGCATTAAGTTTATGTTTGTGGCAGATTTAAATCTCATGCATAATTTTTGTTGCAGATTTCATGCTTTAAGATTATATTATTGGCAGATTTAAAGCTCATTCATGATTTGTGTGGCAGATTTCATGCAATAAGATTATGTTTGTGGCAGATTTAAAGGTCATTCATAATTTGCGTGACAGATTTCATGCATTAATGTTATGTTTGTTGCAGATTAAAGATCATTCATAATTTTTGTGGCAGATTTTACGCATTAAGATTATGTTTGTGGAAAATTTAAAGCTCATTCATGATTTTTGTGGCAGATTTCATTCATTAAGATTATGCTTGTGGCAGATTTAAAGCTCATTTATAATTTTTGTGGCAGATTTCATGCATTAAGGTTATGTTTGTGGCAGATATATAGCTCATTCATAATTTTTGTGGCAGATTTTAAGCATTAAGATTATGTTTGTGGCTGATTTAAAGCTCATTCATAATTGTTGTTGCAGATTTTGTGCATAAAGATTATGTTTGTGGCAGATTTAAAGCTCATTCATAATGTGTGTGGCAGATTTTTTGCATTACGTTTATGTTTGTGGCAGATTTTAAGGGCATTCATAATTTTTGTGGCAAATTTTATGCATAAAGTTTATGTTTGTGGCAGATTTGAAGCTCATTTAACATGTTTGTGACATATTTTATGCGTTAATTGGTAGCTTTTCCCCTAAATTAGCAGTTTAGTTCTCTAAATTGGCAATTCTTTTTCTTAAATTGGCAATTTTTTTCCCTAAATTGGCAGATTTTTGCCAAAAAATTTCAAATCTGAAAGTGGCAGGCCAGTTGGGTCAGGTAAACTGACCCAAATTTGCTCTGGGAGGAACCCTGGGTTAGATAAAGACACTTTCTGGGCCGAGCGCTGCCTGTTCTAGCCGCGGTAGGACAGGCTAGGCTAGGGGGCTGGGCGCTGCGACCACATGACCAATTGTATATCCATGTGTTACATATGAGATCCATGTATAAAATTAATAGGAGCAGGGGGGGGTCAAAAATTGTTCTCTAGGAACTTACCCGGGTCCGTCCTAGTTCACGATTTTTGGACCCTCCGACCCCCCCCCCCCCCCCCCCCCCCCCCCCAATCAATTTTGTACATGAACATTAATTTTAAGTTATTTAGTATTATTTAGGGTTAGGTTAGGTTAAGACTATTTCTGGGCCGAGCGCTGCGACCAGGACAGGCTAGGGGGTAAAGCGCTACGGCCAGGAAGGGCCTTCAATTTCAATAATTTTCAACAAAAGTAGTATATATTTAGTGCCAGATTAAGTTAGACACTTTCTTAGCCGAGCGCTGCCGCTAGGACAGGCTAGGGGGCCGAGCGCCACGGCAAGGACAGGCTAGGGGGTAGAGCGCTGTGGCCACATGGTCAAATTAATCTATGTCTTATATATACGATCCATGTACAAAAATTATGGGGGGTGTGAGTTTTCCAAAAATCGTATACTATTAGGAAACTGCCTTTGTTTCTTTAGTCTATTTTAGTCTAAGTATCTACCATTTTTTTTGACGTGACAATTCATGACATGATGGTTTATGTTAAAAAAAACATGGTAATGATTTTTCAGTAAAATATATACCCCTGTCATTAAGATTTACGCCCTCAGTTATTACATCGAATCACTTAAAAACTTTAAACTTACAAATTGTTTGAAATGTATGTACAGTACTAAAACCGATGTTAACCCCCTCCCTCTCACCTCATGTATGAATTATCCAAGAATAAAGTTAGAATATATTTAAACAAAGAATTTTTATATTTTAGATTCCAGTTCTATTTACGCAAGAGGTTAAGAACGTACTTATTGACTACCAGGGGGTGCAGGAAATGTTAACAAGGTAAATTATAGTAACCCTTACATCCACTTCAGGGACTTCAGGGGTACGTATTGTGTTGATAGATCCCCCCCCCCCTTCCATAAAGTGTTCTGAATGTAAAAGAGGGATAGAAACCTGCCAATTGAGACTTTTTTTCATTCCCTTCCAAAAATTTTTGTTATTTAAGAGGGGGGGATAAGTCATTTAAATTCAAGTTGGGCCTAATTCATAACAAAAGTAGCATGGGATATATCAAACTACAGGAAATGGGACACGAAATTCATTTCCGGGGTCGAAATTGACTGGAGCATTCTGACCGGCGCGCTAGTAGCCAAATGTCACCGTATGTGTTATCTTACGGTATGTTTTACATGCCATATATCAATTTATAGGTAATTGGGCACGAGGATTCCAATTCTTGGATTAAAAAATCGAGCTAGTAACCTACCGTTACCTTATGGGTCATCTTACAACAGATTTTGCATGCGTATGTCGATTTATAGGTAATTGGGCAAGAGGATTCCAATTTTTGGGTATAAACTTTGGGAAGACCACTTTGAAATATACCATATACATTTATTCAAGGTATACTTGTCCTAATGTACCCTATACAAGGTATACTCTTCCGTATATAACACATACAAGGTAAACTCTTCCTACTTTACCATATACAAGATATCCTTGTCCTGATATACCATATACCCAAGATGGGGCTTCTTGCAGATATCATCTCACATAATCACATAATCACAAGGTCCACTCGTCCTAATATACAAAATACAAGGTATACTCGTCCTGATATACCATACACAAAGTATACTTGTCCTGATATACCATATACAAAGTACACTTGTCCTAATATACCACATTCAAGGTATACTCGTACTTATATACCATATACATTATACAAGGTATGCTCATCCTAATATGTAGCAGTCAAACAGGTCCACCACTCATTATCCTACGCTTTCTATCAAGACCCATTCGAGCCAAGGTTATCAAGTTCAGTTACCCTGCCTTAAACCCTCTGGATGCTGCTAAGCACAAGTGGTCTATTCTAAAAGATTACCCACTGTCCAATGAAAAAATCAACCAGAGAGGAACTATCCAAATCAACGGCGATCACACTAGAAGGAATTCTGAATTGTTGACAACCCTCAACGGGAAGATTATGTGAAAGCAAGAACACAAAAATCATGAACTCTCTATTTCAGAAATATTAAATCTCAACTCTTAAATTAAAACTGGTAAATGTTATACTAAAATTAAGTTCTTAAATTGAAAACTTTGCACTAATCCTGAGTATTGCCTCTTTTTGCATGGTTTGCTTAAATATGTAAACTTGAGATTTAATGTACCTTTTTCAATTTCTCTTCTGATTTCTTTCCAAACCAAAGATTAACTGTCTATTTTTTCTAATGAAACCCATTTCTATTTGAGCATGTTTGTCATTATGTCACATAGTATTTTCCCATTGCTTACACAATTCCATCCTCTTATCCAATCTCCTTTTAACCCTTTTTGGTGGATAACATGCATATTTCGACAAAGATATTACAACTTTTTCTAAATTGAATAAAAAACGACCACAATGATCTTGAAGATGTGAAAAATTATATAGGTTCCCTTAATAAAAACGAGCAATATACTCTTAATTACAATGATTATCTAGATCCAACAAATATGGGTCCCGATTTTTTTTTCAAACATTGAGCTTAGAAATAGTTTAAACATTCAAAGTCTGTCATCAACATTTGAGGAATTGAAAATATTTCTTGATAGAATCGAAAAATCAGGAGGTAATGTATCAGTTTTAGTTTTACAAGAAGTTTTGGATGCACGAAAAACATGAAAAGGGGGAGGTGTTGCAATATATTGTAAAAAACTTGAGTCGATTGCAATAGAAATACAACTTGAAAACATCTTAGTTTTAATTGGATCTTATTACAAATATTTCAGTATCAATAATTCATTAAATCACTTATTTGTGTCATTTCAGGGTAAACTAAACAGCCTATTCGCTGTTGATTGGTAATAGTCTTACTTTTCAAAGACAACTGTGACCGGAGAAAAAGCCGATTTTTCGTTCAGAATTTGAGCGGAGAGGGACGGTCCCTCTCTATAGACACTAATTTGACGAAATCCTAAGAAGATGTGGGAAACATTAAAAAACATTACAGGGATGCGAAACAAGCCAAATCAGAGTTCAATGAAAATTGATTCCATTAATAAGGAACAATTAATAATCTCAGATCAAGTTTTAATTACTAATGAGTTCAATAAATATTTTTCATCTATTGGCCAATGTAAAGCAGAAGCTTTTCATTTCAGAATTTCTTCCACCTCCCTTCATGCTTATTTTACAAATGAGCCAGTAGAAATAATGGAAGAATTAGAAAGACTAACAAAACCTCTGAGGAAATAAATGGAGTTCAGGAAATTGCTTAAAAATATATCAACTGAAATAGCCCCTGATTTATCTTACATTTATAATTTAAGCCTTTTTGGAAAATGTTCAGAACTATTACTATTTATATAAAAGATTAAAAAGATGACTTATCTAATTTTTGTCCAATTGGATTAATCAATTGATTTTCTAAAATATTGGAAAAAAACTCGGCATAAATGAATGCTTTCATTTCTCAACAATAATAACTTTTTTAAAACAAATTAATTTCGGTTTTTTGCCAGGACGTAAAGTTATGCAAGCAATTATTAAGCTTTTAAACTACATTTTCAGCGCACTAAATAATAATAAATCTGTTTTACTTGTCATGATAGATATTTCTAAAGCTTACGACTGTATTGATTACAAGATAAAAAGCTTATCCACGGGCTACGCCGGGCCCTTATGCTAGTGTCTAATAAACTTACTATGAACTAATGCAATTTTATTTTCAAATTCTTTAAATGCACAAAACGACTGTCCTAATATTTTCTTTAAGCTAGGAGAAACTACGCGAAAAATTGAATGCATAAATGAAACTGATTCGGTTAGATTCTTGGGATTATGACTGAATTGAATAAGTCACACAGCGGAAGCTTTTTGGGGTCTGAACATACTCCCCTTAAGAAAATTATGAATTTTAAATGTTATAAAATTTGTATTTCAATTTAAAGAAGACCATTTACCACCAACATTTAAAAAGGATTTCAAATTATCAAAAAATACCAAAAAACGCAAATCTTAGAAACAGAAATGATTTTTGTAGTCCTAGAGTAAAATCTATTTGGATTACTTCCTCCTCACAATTTCCTTTAAATATGGTATAAAAACAAGCGACACTTTTCAAAGCTTTCAAAAGCAATCTAATTTCAACTTTTAAATAGAATTTTATTGAAGATTATTATCAGCAGAACAAATGTATTTATTATAACACATGCTATGTTTGCAAAAGAATCGAAGAAAGCAAAGACGATTTTACAAAGAAAAGATGAAAAAGATCTTAATGGGTAAAAGATACAATCAAACATAAAGATGTCAGTGCGAATTAAAAAGATGCTTAAAAATGCCCATTTTTAACCTTTACATTTTTCACAACCCATAAAACCTATCTTATTTTTTCAACAATACAAATAAACAGATAATTTTTATTTCTATTTCGTTGAAAAATACTAACAATCCACCGCTAGTTTATATTAAATATAATGTAAAAAATAAATATGTAACTTTCCTTTTCTTTTCTTTTTATTTCTATTTTTATATTTTTTTAGAATTGGGGGAAATATTCCCACAACCTCTATTTTTGGAGGTTTTCAAATATTTTCTCCTTAAACACTTAATTTTGTATGTTTTTGTTATATTTCATAAATAAATGATTACTTTCTTAATACATAAGATGACTCATAATGTGACATCTGGCTACTAGTGCGCCGGTCAGAATGCTCCAATGTTTATTTTGACCTCGGAAGTGAATTCTGTGTCCCAATTTACCAGTAGTTTGATATAACGCATGCTACTTTTGTTATGAATTTATTATATTTTTTCTCAATTGCGCTCGCGCGCGGTGACTTATTGCGCAAACTGTTCAGGAATTTCTTGTTAAATAGCCTCCTCATACTATTTCAAATTCATTTAACGGTATAAAGCACGTGAAAACGTTAATAAAAGTAGTATTTTTTTAACAAAAAGCGCGCGCGCATATTTTCTCTAATCTATTTGAAAAAGCATTTTGCAGTTACAAGTTATGTTTAACCACTGTTTAAATTTTCCGAGAGAGTAATACGACTTATGCCCCCCCCCTTTTCTATTCAATATACTTCACATTTTGACTCAAAACTTTTACTAGACTGAAAGAAATGCTTTTTTAATGAATTAACAAAATTTTCATGTGATTAATAGCTCAGACGATCTTCTGAGAGATCTTAAAGATCCTGCAAATTGATAACACAGTTTGACTGCAACTTCTCCTTTGCAATAGATGCAGTAATACTTTTCGTTAATTCTTTAGCTGACTACGATTTGATATCTACATTTTCCAGTTTTAACTCTTCTACTATTTTAGGAACTTAAACGAAATTATCGATTTGAACGAAGGGGAGCGGTTTGTTAAACTCTTTTGGAATGATTTCATCCGAGAAATCCACGGTTTGGGACATATTCATCTACCAAATATCCTTGAGAAGCTAGTTACAAACAACGGGTTAATCATTTTCCAAGAGAATATTTACAGGTAAAGTTGACAGGGGTGTATTTTTAAAAAAAAATCCGCCCCCCTCTTTTGGGAAATTATTTATTTTCCCCAGAAAATGTATATAGTTATTTTATACGTTTTAAATGATTTTTTTGGGAAAAACTATCAAAAAGAAAGAAAAAGCTTGCCTTATGATGTCCCATTTTTCATTTTCCCCTCAATTCATTAAAAATCAATCATTCCCGGGGGGGGGGGGGGGGAATTCTGAAAAATATACACCCTTAAAAGTTGGTTAACGATATAGGAGATTTTTTTTAACTTTATACAATGCAAGAAATCTTACTCCCTAACAAACAAGAATAAGTAAAAATCTAAGTTAACAAATTTTGTACAGTTTAATAAAAACAAGACATTTGCACAAAATTTATCAAATTTCATCTTCTGGATTTATAATTTTTCATAAAACAGCTGATATTTTCTTGGATAATCACGTTATGCCAGTTCTCCAAATATGTAAGAAAACTGTATTTACTTTATTAAAATAACTTTGGGAACATTTCGTTGAATTGAACATTTTTTACGTAGTAAAAAATGCCAACAAGGGTATTTTTTAGGAATTTTGTCATTATGCTGAGTAGTTTTCATGAAGCTGGTTTAGTGGATAATTATACTTTCTTCAAAACAATTCAAAGCCTGCAGGTACAATATCTAATGTTTATTAATTGCAAACAATGCTCAGGACCCGGATCAAGATCCACTGGTTCCGCAACAATTAAGCTCTCTGTATCCGAATCTGGCAAAATATCAACAAATTCATAAAAAAAATTAAGTTCTGCATAAATATTTGAGAAAGTAAACATTTGGATTTTGAATTTTTGAAAAACGCCAAATTTAACATTCAATGCCATTCTAAATTTTAAAAGTAAACTTGAGAAACGAGTTTACAAGTTCAAAGCATGATTTATATGCACTGTAAATTATTAATATGCTGATTGCTGATAAAAGAAAAGAAAAAATAAGTATAATCTCCATTAATAAATGTTCTTCGATTTTTGTTCTTCTATTGTAATTGTGAACATGTTCTATTTGTATACTTTGTAAAACGAAAACAAAACAATATTTCGTGGATTTAAAAAATTTACAAAAACCGAACTTTGTTAAGAGGGAAATTTTCGAAAATTCATCCATATCCTCCCTAGGTCATGCGAGGTTCTACAAAAAATTTGGGCCCGATCGGTTCAGCCGTTTTGGCGTTTTGTAATACAAACAGACAAACAAACAAACAGACACCCAAACAAACAAACAGACAGACAAGCAAAGAATATATATATAGATCCACACTTGATACTAATATCTAGTTCAAAAACTGATTTGATTTTTTTTTGTAGGAGCGTGTTCACACCCCTGCTAGTCCTGCTAGTCCTGAAATTAGATCTAGGTTTCTAAAAAGAAATTCTCTTTCTCATTGTCTCTACAGGCGGAAAGTCAAGAAAGGTCTTTGGATGGATGAAAAGGAGAGTGTCATAAGGATTAGTTTAATTCAGATATTTTTTATGAAAACAATATTTGTCTGTTTGTTCGTATGTTCTCTCAGTTTCAGAAGGATAAGAATGAGTCTCTGTGTCAGAAAATAAAATTTAAAATTCCTTTAAAATGTCAATTATTAAAATAAATCTACCAACTTTAAAAAATCAGATTATTATAAAAATTGTTAATGAGATTTTAGATGTTTGTGGAAACCTTTAATACTAAGATTTGACTAATAACTGAACTTAAATAAAATTAGAATAATTAAATAATGCTTAGAGATGAGTCGAGACTTTGGGACAAAAATTCTTCCCAGGTGAAACATATTTTTGGACTGGAATTTATGGTTGGTAACAGGGGTAAGAATACATTCCCTGTTAGGTTTTTAATTTAAGAAATTTCATCCAGTTTTTACAATTTTTGTTTTGGAACCGGATCCGCACGGATACGTCGAATATTCAGACCATTTTGGTTAGAAATTAGGCTCTGATTTTCAAAAACCTTAATTTGTATTAATCTGTCAATAAATTAATATTAGTGGTACTTGTAAACTGTCCCTAGTAAATGTATTAATATTAGTGGTACTTGTAAACTGTCCCTAGTAAATGTATCAATATTAGTGGTACTTGTAAACTGTCCCTAGTAAATGTCTATGAAATTTCTTTCATTAAATGTCCCAACACTTTCTGTAAAGAAATACTGAATTATTTGATGCATATTTTAGAAGAGCGTAGAACCAATGATTATTGAGATATCTGATTCCACTGAGTCTACTGATTCTGAGCCTGATAGTGATCAAACTTTAGATAAGTTTCTAAAATCAATCCAGAGCTCACAGTCCACCCTCAATCCAACAGCACAGGTCGTACCTTTAAGATTTTATTCTGCATTCACTCTGGAGTTAATCTTCTGGGGA